AAAAAAAGAAAGGTAAAGTTGTGTATCGTCTGATGACAACTTGACAACAGAAATTTTGTAAAGCGAGAGCCATATACAATAAAGAAAGGCGGTCCTAAAATAGATCCCTGATGTATACCTTAACATTTAAGAATGAAGAAGTTACACCATTATATGTTACCGCTTGAGATCGGTGTTGTAGGTATGAAGCAAAAAGATTAATTGCGTTTTCTAACAAACCAATAAAATTTAACATTGAAATAAAAATTGGATGATTCAGTATCAAACGGTTTCGAATAGTCTAAAAGGGTTAGTAGTGTCAGCTTGCCTTCATCTGTAGCCCTAATTATATCATCGGTTATATCTAGTAGAGCTGTAGTACAACTTTGTCCAGCTTTATATCCTGATTGAGTAACGGGGATATTTCTTGTTATTATCTAAGTGAAACTGCATCTGCTCACATATAACCTTTTCCAAGATTTTTGAAAAGGTTGGTAAAATACTGGTAGGGCGAATGTTATCTAAGGTTGTTGGATTTGCAATTTTTTGTAACGGTATGACGAGTGCCTTTTCCACTGAGCCGGGAAAATTGAATATTTTAAGCAATAGTTTATATATATATATATATCGTTTATTGACCATTTACAAATACAAAACGTATTTTTAAAGTCAGCAAAAGAATAACAATTTATAAAATAACTTAAAATAATTTAGATCTACTGTGCCCGATAAGTAACAAATTCGTTTATGGAATAGAAACAATGCTCTTCAAAAAACTTTTTTGATAATTGTTTGAATTTTTTGATGGAAAGTCGTTTAATATCAATATTTTTGGACCGAAAAATAGTGTTTGCAAAAATATTATACAATTCTAGATTAAGTTTATTTTTTTGTGTAGTACACAACCTCGATCTTAATGTTTTGATATTGTCAGCTGTTCGCGTCATGTAACTGTGATATCCACCATGAGTCGGAAAAACAGACAAATTTGAGTGGATTTCAACTAAAGTTTGGAGAATAAACATACATGGTAACGTAAGTATTTTCAATTCTTTGAATATTGGGCGGCAGTGGCTGGACGGCGGAACACCCCCAAGAACCCGAACCGCAGACTTCTGCAATCTAAAGGCTCTCTCGGCCTCCGTCGCGTTCCCCCACAGTAGTAGACCATAAGATAAGATACTATGAAACAGTGCAAAATAAACTATACGGAGAGTGCTTTGCGAGATCGAACCTCGCAGTTGTCTCAGAACAAAAACCTGAGATGACAATTTACCGCACAGGTAGTCTATATGAGGCGACCACGTTAAAAACGCATCTAGGTAAACACCAAGGAGTTTGACCGGTTCAGATTTTTTACTTCTTCGATTGGTATTGAAAATTAGAGTCTTTGTTTTATCGGAATTTAATTTAAGTTTATTAGCAGAGAACCAGTGCTCAATCATAGAGAGTGTAGTGACAGCCTTTTTATTTAAATTAGTTAGATCTTTCTCCGATTCAATCAATGATGTGTCATCCGCATAGAGTATACTGCGAGCAGCATTTGTTGCAAATACTACATCATTGACATATATTATAAACAAAAGTGGACCAAGGATGGAACCCTGAGGCACTCCATTAGTAATGTCCAACAGAGTGGATTCCCGATTATTCCAGACAACATATTGCTTTCTTCCGGTCAAATAAGATTTTAAAAGGGCTAAGGTATTTTCACGAATTCCGTAGTACTCAAGTTTAGACAGAAGTATATTAGTATCCACGCAGTCGAATGCCTTGGTGAGGTCGCACATCGTTACCGAAGTCGACAGGCCCTCCTCAAACCCATCAATCACATGCTCAATCACTGTGTATAAGGCACGGATGGTGGACCTACCTGACCGAAAACCAAATTGGGAATCTGTTAACAATTTCCTTCCCTCAAAGTAAGCAATAAGTTTATCTTTTATTATCGACTCAAAAATTTTTCCAATGATAGGAACGATTGCTATTGGTCTAAAATTATCTAAGATATTAGTATCCCCTTTTTTATGGAGTGGAAGAATTTTTGTCACTTTTAATTCATCCGGAAAACATCCCTCTTCAATGCTATTGTTTATTAGTAACGTAATAGGTTTCAGAAGTGAAGATATTGATTGCTTAATAATATTGGCATTTAGACCATAATAGTCAAGACAACGAGAGTTTTTTAGTTTTAAAATCGCTTCCCTAACATCACTCTCCACAACTGCCGACATAAAAAACGAGAAATTGGGTCTAGATGATCTGGAGATGTAGGTCATAGCATCTACTACTGAAGGTGTGATGGTTTTCGTTATCTCCGCTGACACAGAAGCAAAAAATCTGTTGAACTCCAACGGAGTAATAGATGATTGAATAGAGTTACTGTGCTTAGACCGTCTCTCCGAATTAACAATATTCCATGTCGTTTTAGATTTATCATTTGAACTCAGAATTATGTCATCATAAGTCTTCTTTTTCTCCACCTTTATAGTGTGACGATATTCTTTGTGGAACCGCTTGTAAGCATGAAAGTCTTGGTTACTTTTTGAACTATGGTATTTTTTTTTAAGGCATAAAAGATGCTGGCGCATTTGTTTAAGGTTTTCATTGAACCATTTAATTGGCGAGCAATGGATGGTAGAGTTAACAATGGGAAAGAAACTGTCGACAGCTCCCCTAAGTTGTTCAATAAACATAGAACAAAACTCAACGCCACTTTGTTCGTTACTGACAAGTTTGGACCACTCAATGTGCTCCAGACTGTTGCCGAACGCAGTTATACGTTTATTACTTATTAACCTTCTTTTAATTTTATCATGATTACGACAAAGCACTGACGAATTAACTTTTATTAATTGTCCCAAATGATCTGACAAAACGGGGTCACAGACTAGGACACTTAACCGGTCACTAGGAAAATTGGAAATTACATTGTCCAAACAGGAATCTACTGATTTAGACTTCCTGGTAGGTTCTTTTACAAAGAACTCTAAGCCAAACATGTGTGATATGAGGCAAAATATGGGGAATACATAAATTGATTGTAGAAATATTAATACCATTGCAACCTACTGCCTTAGTCTTAATAGCCTTAATTATCCGCAATACATCAGTTTCAATTACAGGGGTAAAAGAAAAAGTACGTGGGATTGAACTATTTTCTCTATTTGAATAATATGAAATTAAATCCTTACCAGGGGGTAAATCGGGAACAGACTTTATAAAGTGACCGTTTATATCCTTAATATTACATATATTTGCAGGTAAATCACTATTTTCCCTCTTTAATAGTCCCATAGTCCTCATACCTGCCGATACATTCTTTGGATTGGCATTATTATAGAAAAAAACTATTGTAATACACTTTCTTTTCTCTTTTTATCGCCGCAGTTACAGTATTTCTCAGAGTTCTATAGATCTGCCAGTCACTCGGGCGTTTACTCTTTTTTAATTTAGACAATGCCTTGTTTCTAGTAGCTACCATGTTAATAATAGTGTCCGTACGCCATGGTGCGTATTTTACGATTAAATAAATCTTCCCTTGGAATTTCTATTTGTGAATTAGTTTTTTCGATCTCACTTTTTAGACCAGCAAGATCCTGTTTTACACTGTTTTCAAAGACATTCATCTTATTTAAAATGTTATTTAAATCCTGCAAAGCACTAGTAGTAGATTTTTTAACTCTTCCAAGCCGCACTGCAAAATCTCCTCCATCTTGTTAACACGTGAATTGATATCCAAAATGAGATCAGTTTTTGGAAGTTTTGCACCTCTCGTATTCATGTCAACTTAACACACGCAAGAGTTTGTCTAGTAATTTTGTTATAATAGTGTTCGCCAGGATCCTGAATATTATCTTGAACAAAAACTAATGAAAAAAAAAACTTAAAAAATGCCCGGAGTAACTGTACATGCTGCCCACTCGACAGCGCCATAATCGAATTCTGAATATTATTATTATATTCACTGTCAAAACTTAAAACCCTCAGCAAAATCGTCATATAAGAATATTAATTTGTCAATCTTTCGAAAACTAAACATTTTCAGCATACACAAACCTTATACAAACTTACCTTTTTTTATGTTGGTAAATAAGATGAAATTATGAAATTTGGTGGTTTCCATTAAAAAAAAAAAAAGATTTTTGGATTTTTTCTTAATTTAATATTTAATCTTACTTTTGGAACACCTTTACCCCTAGTTATCAAAATATTATAAAAATTCTATTAAAGTAGCTTCTTGTCAACAAGGTATTAAACCCAAATTAAAAAATAAGTATTTCCTTTTAGGAAAAATTAGTATTTTTCTTATTGCCTGCAAATGACATGACAAATGAGATAAAAACTTAAATTTGTCAAAAACCATTAGACATTTGTATAGAACATTTTATATATGAAATTTTCCTAGAAACTTGAGTAGAATCCAAAAATGTAATAATATACAGGATGTTTCATTAAAGAACAATAAAGTTGTGTTTACCCAGGCAACACTGAGTGTCCTATATATGCGAAAGTATAGTAAAATAAAACTTTCAAACTTTTCAGACTTTTGTATTTAAGATTTTTTCGTACACCCTTTATATTCTGATATAAGGTATAGGGTTACGTTATATTGGACACCCTGTATATATATTTTAATTTCTGCCTCCTCTTCCTTTTGCTATGGCTCGTGTTAAACCAAAATGTGTCAATTAGGAGAAATTGGATATAATAGGGGTATATTTTATCAATGCGCATTTAATATTGGCTTTAAAAAAGTTTATTTTGACAGGTAACTAACTCCTTGTCATAAGTTCTGTAAATTAGTTATGACATTTCTGTTCGCGCCACCTGTCATTTCATGAGAAGGTAGTCTTGGCCCATGAAAGCCGCAACACGCTAGCTTTATTAATAAGTAAAACGTAAACGTAAAACCATCAAAAATGGGACACACAGTACATACCGAACTAAAACCAAAAATTATTACATTGAATAAAATGTTGTATATTTAAAATGGGATTTCTTTTGAACGTTTATTTTAGGATAGGCTAATATACCCGAAGAGAGTAAAATGGCGGTAGATAACGATTCGTCCCCGGCCAAAAAGTCATCCACGTCGATTAAAATGACCGGAAATGCACATGCTGAAATCATCATGCTCGATGGTTCTACACTATCAGTCAGCATTGATGTAAGTACCTAACCGAACAGAAAAGTTTATAAAGACTGAATTCTCAAATGTTTCAAAAATTCTTCCTGCGAGGATTCAGTAAAGGAAAAGTGCTTTCATCAGGGAAGGGGATCTCGACAAGTTTTCATCACAATTTACCCATTCGATGATACAATGGAGTGACTTTTTTGTGTTAACACACTAACCTGTTCAAAAGTTTACAACTTTTAATGTTTTCAAATTTTCTATTTTTTTTTAGCGAAAAGCAAAAGGCAAGGATTTGTTGGACAGGGTATGTGAAGCTATAAATTTGATTGAGAGAGACTACTTTGGCTTAACATATGCAGACAGACACGATCCTCGAAACTGGCTGGAACTTGATAAGAGGATAGCTAAGTTTATGAAAAGTAAGTGTTATTATTTGAATTTCTTATTTTTTATGAGAAATATTTTAAGCAAGTAAGTAGTTTCATCTATTAAAAGGAGGAGGTCAGAAATTCGTCTAGAAATTGAACTTTTTAAAATAAAATAAATGGTTTTATAAATTTTGGCGATAAATAACCCTGAAATGCAATTAACATCCAACAAACGTGAAACTTGTAAGTAGCCAATCTCGAAAGTGCTTTTCAAACCACCTAGTTTATGATTATATATAAAACCTTTTTCTACTGTTTTTATATATAACTTTTTATGTATCACCATTTGCCTCATCTAAGACTTTTATTTTTTTCTTTTAATTTGAAAGCAATATGATTTTGTCCTATTAATTTTCAGACGAACCATGGAGATTTAATTTTGAAATTAAATTTTATCCTCCGGATCCAGCGCAACTTCAAGAGGATATAACCCGATACCACTTGTGTCTTCAAATTAGGAACGACATACTCAGTGGTCGCTTGCCGTGTTCATTTGTCACACATGCCCTTTTAGGATCTTACTTAGCCCAATCTGAACTTGGGGATTATGATCCAGACACAATGGGCCGCAACTATTTAAAAGAATTTAAAATTGCTCCAAGCCAAAATCAGGATTTAGAAGACAAAGTTTGTGAGCTGCACAAAACTCATAGGTAAAAAGTAGGAATTATGCTAAAAACAGAACATTTTATTCAAAAACAAGATATCTATTAAATATTAAAATGGTAGCGACTATGGCGTTTTATTTAAATACCACAAAATAAAAAATGTGGTAATATTTCTGTAACTTTATTTTTTAATAAATAGGGGACAAAATCCTGCGGAGGCGGAACTACACTATCTAGAAAACGCAAAAAAATTGGCCATGTATGGTGTTGACTTACATCCTGCAAAAGATTCAGAAGGAGTAGACATTATGTTGGGTACGTCTTAAAGTATTGTTTTCTTTAGTATATTTTTACACCTTACCAACAGAGTACACACTAATAATAGAAAAGAAGGGGTAAATTCGAAAGTTTTATGTTTTTTTTTTTGGTCAATTTTTTTTTTATAAATGTCATTTTTGACAGGTTGATTATTTCAACGGGTCATCCTATATATTTATATTTTTTTTATAGATTTTTCAAATTCTTAAGTATACTCATATATGTAACATTGCATCTATCATTCTTTGAAATTTATTAAAAAAAAATCATACAAATTTGAAATACAAGAGATATTTTTACAATCTTTCGCATTGATACTATTTTCTAATTAGTATATAAAAATACATATAAGTGAAAAAACATGTGAAAGTTTTGTATTCCAAATTATGGAATTATTTTAGGAGTATGTGCATCTGGGCTCCTGGTATATAGAGATAGATTAAGAATCAATCGTTTTGCTTGGCCCAAAATTTTAAAAATAAGTTACAAACAACATAATTTCTATATCAAAATTCGTCCCGGCGAGTTTGAGCAATTTGAGTCAACCATTGGATTCAAATTAGCCAATCATAGGGCTGCCAAGAAGTTATGGAAGACTTGCGTTGAGCACCATACTTTCTTCAGACTGATGTCACCAGAAATTAATCAAAAATATTCGCTTTTTCCTCGCTTAGGCTCCAAATTTAGGTGAATCTTTCAAATAATATAGAGTATTTTATATTTGGTTTATAAAATATTTTAGATATTCTGGTCGTACTCACTATGAAACGAGGAAAACTCCTATAGACAGGCCAGCACCCCAATTTGAAAGGTCACTTACTGGTAAACGGCTGACTTCTAGAAGCATGGACCGTAAGTTCTTAAAAAGAAAAGCGACGTGCGTAAGTGTTTATGTGTGCTCTTCTTTTGGACTGAATGCGTCGCTTTGTTTCGTTCATCAGTTGTCAAATTCAACTTTTCAGCACTCGGCGGTTTAAAACCGGAGGATGATTACAATGAAGCAAATAAACGTCATACAATGCCCTATCCACCAGATCATATCCCCGATATTGACAACCAAACTCCTCCAAAAGTCAAAGCAGTTAAAGATAAGAAAGAAAAGGTAATGTTGCATAATTTCTACATGGTTTTTGTCAGTTTTTGGCACTCTAGTTAACTATCAGGTAAAAAAACCCTAAAAAACAGTAGGGTTGTATTTTAGATGATAGCGAAATTTTCGAAATATCACTTAATTAAAAAAAGCAATTATTCCGAGATTTTTTCTATTTTGTATTGTTATCAAGTGCCAACACAATACATAACCGAGATGGGGTGTTAAGTTTTACCGGTGTGAAACTAGCAACTAAAAGTTCGCAGCCAAAATTACAGAAACGAGTTGGTATATGGTGCAATTAAAACATTGAAAATATTTTTTTTCTACCTTAATCGAAATTTTCACAATTTCATTTCTTGTTGATAATATCAGCGATGAGGATAATTTTTTGTATTGTTTTTTACATGGAGATTGTAATTGAGGTTATGGTTGAGTAACCTCGACATGTGAACAAAAAAATACAGATACACTAGCGAACTGTTAACTAACATTTGTAATGTTATAAATAAAGCTGCACGAATCAGTTCTTTGACTGAATTTTTTGTGTGTAATAATTTCTATTAAATATGTCTAGGAAACATTTAACATGTCTCCTTAGAGTGTTTTTTTTCTTGTTCCCCGTTTTTGGAAATATAAGAATGACGATGTTAATAAGATCTACATTGCTCCTGTATTCATCTTCATTATCATTTTTTTACCCATATAGCATACTAGGCAGCCAAGCTCCACTTCAATGAAATCCAGCGGCACTGTAAGTTCAACCGAAGGAGATTATGACGCAGAAAAGATTGAAAAGGTGTTGCTCATATTATAGCATTCTGTCTGTCTTTTTAAGTTAATATCGCTGTTCTTTTTTGCTTGGTTGAGACCTATTATAATTAAAAGTGTAAATGAGCTTTTTAAGCTATTTGGTAGTTTCTGAACTAATAATATTTTTGGTTTTTTGAGGTTCTTATGGGTTTTCATTTTTCTTAAATTATAGGTATATCTTGCACAGTATTATATGAATGAATAAATAAACAAATCAAATGCGGCGGAAAATATAAAAAGCTGTTCCTTTAAGAAACCGGTTTTTCAGAAACTTTATTTGTAGTAATAATCTAATTTTGATTTTCTACTTTTTTGCGGTTTAGAGTAAGAAGAAAGTTGCCCTTGTTTCTGTTCAAGAGAAAATTAAAACCAATCAATATCAAATATATTTATGCTTAGAATGTCTATAAATTTCTCTCTAAGCGGCTAAAACACTACGTCATTGGATTGCCGTTATCAAATTTGACCTTTTCATTGTGTTTTGTTTGGGAGATATTCGAGGTATTTTTATAATTTACTCTGTTACTAAAAATTTAGTTAAAATATATTTCTAAAAGAAGCGCATGATGTCCATAACATTAGTTTGACATAGTTATTTGTCACGTTCGGTATTCGAGAAATCCATTCTACATTACAATTTAATATAGCCGAATACAAAAATATTTGAAAGAAAAAAAAATCAAGAACTATGTGTTTCATTAACTGTTTTTAAATCTTGGGAATTTTTACTTTATTGTTTGGCTTTTCTCCGCTTCAGTTTGTTGGTTTTGTTAGGCGTTCTTTTTAATTGATTTTAAAAAATTTAAGTTATATTCTTTCTCGGCAGAAACCTATTGGGGGAATAGCTGTATTGCCTTCTGGTGGGCTATTTAGTAAACGAAAAGATAAAGATGACAAGGATAAAGAAAACAAGAGCAATAATATTGAACAAAATGGAAGCGATGGCACTGAGTTAAATACCTCAAACGAAAGTAACAAGATTCCAAAAGAGAAAAAAGCAAAGGTGAGTAGTTTCAAATATTTTACCGCTTGCAGAAAAAAAAACCTGCTCTGCTCAGACGTATACAAGGTTGGTTTCAACTTAAATTCAATCAGTCAAGTGAATAACAACCGTGAAAGTTATAAAAAAAAATTTAAACTTTTTTAAAATTAAGTAATTGGTTTGAGATTCCCTATTTATTTGGTAATTGTAGTTTAAATCGCTGAGTTCGACTGTAAACTTGTAGCATGAACCTTTTTAAGATAATTTTATTTACTTGTTTTTTAATTTACTAGTATAAAATTGTATGAATGCTATTTATTGAAGTAATTTCTATTTTATATAGATATTGTTTGATATAGAACGACGTACATAAATGTACCAGTGTAATTAGCGTAAACAACCAATAAATGTAGTGCATGAAATTTAAGCATGATTATTTGCTTTCTTTTTCAAACACTAGAGTCCTGCAGGCCTGTTTGCTAAAAGGGAAAAAGCTGCCAAGGACAAGACAGAAAAAAGTCCACTAAATGCTCCTCCGTTACCTGGTTATGTCAAAGAGTATGATTATGAGACTCCAGAAGAGCAAGTGACTCCCCGAAAACCATATACACAAGGTTTCAGTTATGAAAATCAAAAATTGCCATCCAGCCCCACTAGTGAGCCTGAAACTCAACAATCCCCGCCAACTAAGAAAGCAACTGCGACAGCATTCAATTATGCTCCAGGAGATGTTGAGAAGTTAACCAAAAGTGCAAGTCCAGGTTTTAAAGATCCCAAAGCTGACACTGCAGCATTCTTAGCTGGAGAACAATATAAACGGGATCCGCTAAAACCTAAGTCTATAGGTGCAAGCCCTGGGGGTTTCGCAATTGCCGGTACAAAGCGGCCTATTCAACTGTTTGTCATTACTGGTCCAAGAGATCCAAAGTGTGGACGTCTTGATACTGATAATGCTACAGCAGAAGCAACCTTAGGTCAGCAGAATATTGATACCGGCCTTATTGATTGCAAATACGGTCTTATTGATCCATCGAATGGCACTGTGATCATCACAGATCCCACAAATGGCCAGAAAGAAGTAGTACAAGGTTATATCGACCCAATTACTAAACAAATAGTAATAACGTCTGGCTCTGTTATTGACCCAAAGAGTGGTAAAAGGTCCTCAGCTTTAAGTCAGATTATTGCAATATGCGAACCAGACAAAAAAACGTCAACCCCATTACATACTAAACCTAAGAAACGTTTAATAAAAATTGTTGTAGTAACTGGAAACAAGGATATGAAATCTAAACGAATCGAAGTAGAGCAAAGTGTTAGTGAGACTCTGGATGCTATTTTAGATCCTGCGTCTGGGTGCATTAGCACTAAATATGGTACCATCGATCCAGTTAAAGGTAACATTACACATAAGGATACTAAATCTGGTAAAATTGATGTACGTCCGGTTACATTCGATCCCAACTTGGAGCACTTTATTATTGAAGGTGTTATTGATCCAAAATTAAACAAAGTAGATGATACATTAGGTCAACTTATAAAAATTGATGCAAATGGAGATACAATTATTCCTGTAACAGCAGTAACGGCCAAACGTAATCTACAAACTGGTCAGTTAGATCCTACTCAAGCTCATAAAGAGACAACCAATGGTAAAATTGATCCAATGAGTGGAGTGATGTTGACAAAATATGGCACAGTTGATCTTAAGAAAAAACGAATTTTTATAAAAGATCCTAAAACTGCCGAAGTTGAGGAGCATCCAGTACAGTTTGATTCTAATGATAATATTATTGTACTATCAGGGGTAATTGACCCCAAAACAAACATTCGAGATAATAATTTAAGTCAGATTTTGCAAATTGGCTCAGAAGTAGATCCCGAAATTGTGGTTACATCTTTGTCTGGTAAACTAGATAAACGAGGTCTAGACCCAAAATCTTTATCACAACCCGAAAAATCTGTGGGTCTGTATGATCCAAACACAAATAAATTGTACACCAAATACGGCGTATTTGATCCTATTAATGAGACGCTAAGTATTATGGATCCAAAAACAGGCAAAACTGAAATAAAAGAGGGTCAGCGAGATCCAACCTTGGGAGGAGTACTTTTTAGAGGTTTAGTTAACCCTAAAAGTAACAAATTTGATAGTTCGTTTGGACGCAATATTAAAATTAATGTAAGAGGAGCTCCAGTTGATCCAACAATAACTGAAACGGCCAGGAAAAGCAAAGAGAAGCCTGTTTCACGTGACGAACTGCCTTTAACAATTCCAAAACAAAAGAATAAGGTGGTAAAATTGTTAGTAGTGACAGCGAAAAGAGATCTAAAAAGTGGCCATTTAGATCTTGAAAATGGAAGTGTTGATCAGTCAGCTGGTATTTTACACCCAACCGGAGAAATTGATTCAAAATATGGACTAATTGATCCCTCAAAGGGGATAGTTACTATAACAGACCCAGCGACTGGAAAACAAGAAGTTGTTCAAGGTTCAATAGACCCATCTTCTGGTCAAATTATTTTGGAAAGTAGACCAGTAATTAATCCAAAAACGGGCAAAAGAGATTCTACTTTGGGCCAAGTTATAACTATTGTAGGAGATTATTCTGCCCCTGAAAAAACTCGAATTAAGTATTCTTTGCCATCGCATCCAATCCCGAAAAAACGAATTATTAAGATTTTGGTTATTACAAGCAAAAAAGATCCAAAAACTGGTAGAATTGATACTGAAAAAGGAAATGTTGAAAAACTTACAGCTACAGTTGATCCAGTCAGCGGTATTATTGAATCAAAATATGGAAAGATTGATCCCCACAATCACAAGGTAATACATAAGGACAAGTCCGGTAAAGCAACTGTTACCCCGATAAGAATCGATGAAAATACTGGTCAAATATTTATGAACGACAACGTAATGGATCAAAAAACTGGTAAAATTGACCCCAACTTATCTCAGATAGTTAATATAGTTGATCCACAGCATCCTGCTGTGGTCATTACAACTACTACCCGTAAAAAGGACAGTAAGGTTAGAGAAAATGAGCGATCTGAAATTTCAAACGGAAAAATCATTCCAGAAACTGGTGAGATTGTTACCAAACATGGCACAATCAATTTGAAGTTGATGAAAATTTTTACACGTGATCCAAGATCTGGTCAGTTCCACGAACGACCCGTTCAAGTTGATAGAGATGACAATATTATTATAAATTCTGAAATTGTTGATCCCAAGAGTGGTAAAACTGATCCTTGCCTTATCCAGTTAATTCAAGTTGGTCCCGAAATGGATCCAGAAATAGAAATCAGAACCTATATAGGCAAAATTGATCATAAAAAGAATATTATTGACTCCAAGAACGCCGTGCCAAGTGTAACTCCTGGTTTGTATGATCCAGACAAAAATAAAATTTACACAAAATATGGGCATTTGAACCCTATAGACGAAACATTAACTACTGTAGATCCGAAAACGGGCAAGACTGATACAAAGATTGGGTTTATTGAACCCAGCACTGGTGAATTAATATTTAAAGGTTGTTGTATAAATCAGAAAACTGGTAAGATTGATAAAGATTTGGGAAGAGCTATTTCGGTACATATAACGGAGCCGACTGTAGACCCGTTGGTGCCCCAACAACCTTTACAAAAAGAATTGCAGAAAACAGATGATGCTATTGAAATATCAGAAACAAAAATTTCGCCTACGAAACAAACGCTCTCTACACCTGTTAAGGAAGTTGTTACTGGTGTATTGCATCCTATCGCCAAACATCGCATTGTAAAAATTATGGTCATTACTGCTAAAAAAGACCCGAAGAACAGTTCTTTGGATATTGAAAATGGTAATGTGGAACATTTAACTGGTGTTTTAGATCCAACAACAGGTTATATTGAAACTAGATATGGCCAAATTGACCCAACTGCGGGCAAATTGATTACACACAATAGTGCAACCGGGAAACAAGAAATAATACCGGGTAAAGTTGATCCTGTAACCGGTCAAATTATTATAAATGGAGGAGCAATAATCGATCCTATAACCGGAAAGTCAGATTCAAATTTAGGACAAGTGTTTTCTGTTGTTGGTCTTAAGCAAGCGCAAGATCCACATGTTGCTCCGATACCTAGAAAGCGAATTATCAGAATTACCGTTATAACCACAAAAATTGATCCAAAAACTGGTAAAATGGAGACCGAAAAAGGGCAGTTCCAACAATCAACGGCTCTTCTTAATCCTGAAACGGGTTTGATTGAATCTAAATATGGACTTATTGATCCAAAGAATGGGAAACTGATTATAAATGACCCAAAGTCAGGAAAAGTTGATGTTAGAACTGTGCAAATTAATGAAGTAAATGGACAAATCATATTATCATCTGGAGTTACAGATCCTAAAACGGGAAAAATTGATAACAGTTTAGGTCAAGTGATCAGCATTGCAGGACAAAGCGATCCCGTTATTGAAATTACCTCGGTTATCACAAAAATTGATCCAGAAACGGGAAATATTGATCTTAACAGGGGCCACATGGAAAACTCTAAAGGAAAAAAGCTTTCCGCTACTGGAGCAGTTGTTACTAAATATGGTACCATTGATTTAAAACTTTTGAATATTGTTACTGTAGATCCCAAGACAAGCAAAGCAATTTCTCGCCCAATTCAACTGGACGCAGAGGGTAATATAATTATACCGACAGGCGTAAGAGATCCAAAAACTGATAGTATTAATGCAGAATTGTGTCAAGTCATCAAACTCGGTGCAGAAGTAGACCCAGAAGTACAGGTTTTAACTCTTATTGGTAAAGTTGATCCTAAGAAAAATGTTATTGATTGCAAAAATGCAACTCCTGAGGTATCACAGGGTTTGTACAACCCAATAACGCATAAGATTGACAGTAAATATGGGCAGATCGATCCGGTTCAGGCTACAATAACCTCTGTAGATCCTTCAACTGGTCGCCATGATGTGAGACAAGGGATTGTCGATCCGTATTCAGGACAGATTCTTTTTAAAGGAGGGTATGTTAATCCTAAAACGGGAAAAGTTGATCTTGCTTATGGAAGACTTATTGGCATTCTTATTTCTGATCCAAAAGTCAACGAGAATGGTGAAATCGTGAAGAAGGACCCCAAGACAGTACGCATTGATACGAAGAATAATCAGATTTGGGTATTTGACTATAATGATCCGGTAACCAAAGAGGAAGTCTATAATACTGGCAATATTGATTCCACTACTGGTTATGTCACAGCCGTTTATGGCTATATTGATCCAAAAAGTGGCACTGTATGTAAAAGTGTTAAAGTTGACTCAAGCAATACAAAAATTGACCCGAATACAAATCAAATATTTACTAGAACTAATCAAATTGATGAAACTGGCGCTCCTCTATATTCGACATCAGAAATAGATCCGGGCTCTGGCCAGATTTATACCAAGTATGGTAAGATTGATCCAAAAACTGGAAAACTGATTATAGTTCGCATATATTTAATAACACAAAACGACCCCACCGGCAAAGTTAAAGAGATTGATCCCAAGAATTGTCAATTTGACGAGAAAACTGGTAAAATTGTCAATGTAACTACACAAACGGTCTACATATACAGCATGGTGGATCCTAAAACAGGAAAAGTGATACAAGTTGACCCAGATGATCCTTTAGTTAAGAGTCCCGGTACAAAAATTACTCAAGTCCTCACTCTATCGGGCGAAATAGATCCAGTTACAGGAAAAATACATTCTGAATGGGGTCATATAGACCCTCAAACTGGCGATATAGATCCAGAGACAGCAAGAAAGGATCCAGTCACAGGAGAACTAATATTGAATTATGCCCAAATCGATCCAAGTCACTTTGAAAATCTCAAAGACTCAAAGGTTAGAATGAAACATGGCGATTCTTCAGGGGAATCTAGTGGTGATGATCTGAACGAATATGCATCTGAAAATTTTAAAGGGATTACTGATATACGTACACCAAAAGGTAAAACTGAAGTAGCTGCTATGAGCCCGGTTGTTGTCAAGACAACAACCGAACAATTTGTAACAAAGGATAAAGACGGCGTTGTCCGAAATATTGAAGAAACGATCGAAGATGGACGAACTGGCGAAGTCAACTATTCGTCGCAAATCAATAAGGTAAAACTTTTATATACATATACATTACATATACATACATTACATTACCTACTACATTTTGTGCCTGAATCCACAATATCCCCTCGTACCATGGAGGAAGAAAAAAAAACCCTTTTTTTATTATAAGTAAAGGGATCGAAATTAGACGCCACATAATTTTAGGTTACATCACGTTGCCGGTTTCAATTAATAAAATTACATTTAGTTCAGAACAGTCTTTATGTTTCAAATGTAATGAATTAATTATATTAAGAACAGTAAATTTTCTAGAAAACAGTGGAAGGAGAGAAGTTGATAAATTAGTTTAAAGACCGGTACTGGGACATTTGTTTTGAAAATAACATAACAAAACAAAAATAAAAAATAATGCACCGTTTAATAATAATAGAATTCAAGAATACTTCCAAATGACATCTGTTGCTGTTGTAGATCACAGCGTTATAATTTCTAGGCGGTACTATTTATGGGCCATAAGAATTACGTTATAATACTAGGTTAAAGGTAATTTTGAACATTCATTTATTTTTTTTAATCATTTTTTTTCTTTATCACCATTATCCCTCACCCTAAAGACTGACGCCGACCCATTAGACGATGGAAAATCCCCGTTTGTAACAGCGCGAGCTGTAATAACCCGTACCGCAACCACTCATGAAGATTTGGGCACCAACGCCAAAACTCAACAACTGGAGGAAAAAACTGTGGCACACTCTTTGACAAGTAGTGCAACAAGGCAAGAACAAAGGACTGTAACTCAAGAAGTTAAAACAACCAGTACGGTTGTCAGCGGCGATCAGGTTATTTTTTTGTTGTTGATGTTCGCTTAACTGTTATTTTTATTTTATTCCTTTAAAAACATAGCTTTATATTTTTTGGTTTATTAATTACGTTCATATTCCATTATACTCATTGCTGTGTAACTAATAAGGTATTTTCGAGAGCTGCTAAGATTTCATAGTTTATCTTTATACTTGATTCTCACCTAGAAAAGTTTTTATTGAAATAATCCAATATGTTACATGTAACAAGAAGAATTAGCTAAATAAGATAACTAATATTTTTATTTGCTCTTCTTCCTTTAACAATTTTATTCCGCCTCAAAAAAATCACATGAGTTTAGATAAACAAAAAACTAAATACGGTTTTACTAGCTTTATGTGAAACCCATCCATAAAAAACGTATAAACAATAACCATAAACACTGTGTGAGTAATAGAATAATCTTCCTACTTTAACCCAACATCAATAACTAACTTGCATGACTAATAGCTGGGCAGACGAGATAGTGTGAGCTCGACTAGTTCAGGCGATTCAGGCACCCCCATTGATCCTCCCGATGACCCCAATCACCCATATTTCAACAGTTCTATTTATAAGGTGAGTATCAGCTTCAAGAATTATTAAATCTTTAATTCAATTTAGGTCAAAAATTATTGTACAAATTTATTAATAAAACTTATGGGGTAAATAAATAAAAAATCATCATTAGTCTCGATTTGGAAAAAAGATACTTTCCTGATTTTTCATTTAATTTCATTTCAAGTCCTCTTAACGCCTTCTAACATTATTTTTATGCAGGAATCTGATTCCCTGGAGTTCTGAAGTAATGAACAAAAACGCGTGTTCAGTCGGTTAATGTTGTAATATGACCTTGGAGGGTATTGACTATCTTTTGTCTTGTTCTTCCAAAGCACTGATTTTTTTATCCGCTAAAGACGACGGAAAAGTGTTTTCTAACAGCAAGTGCCACTAGAAGAGCGGGATTATTATGTTTTATTAAATGAAATTAAATTAAAGAAGAATATTTCTTATGCACAAAAAGTAGGATAAAGGTAGTAAACGATTTTTAACTACGTTCTTGCTATATTTTGAAAAAAGCACGACTTATTATTGATTGATTTTAGTGCAGCGCATGTAGCCTTTTTTTAAATGTTTTATTTTAGAAAGTGGTTGATGATTTTTAAATTGAAGTTTTTATCCGCATGTTATATAAACGATCCTAATGCACGCAGGTCAAGCCACATATACGTGTCCTAATGTTCATTTTGATAATATATATATATATATATATATATATATATATATATATATATATATATATATATATATATATATATATATATATATATATATATATATATATAAAATTGTATTCTAACAATATTAATTCTCTTAACAATTTTGTTGATTGCCTTATTATTATTAGGAGGACATACCAGGAGGAATTGTTAAAACGGAAAGCATAGTTTACAGTCCTGATCGAGTTTCATACAAGACTTCTACAGCAGGTGTCCCAATTGTAGCAACAGAAGCCAGGAAGATGCAACTTACCTCCGACGATGGCAATTACACGAAAACGGGTGAAATCGTCAGTACGCAAACCATAAGTTCTAAAACCCGCACTGTTGAGACGATTACAGTAAGTAAAACATTTGTTATAGTTAATTTAGTATACAATGGAAGCATATTTGATTTTATAAAATGTATTTTCAACTTTCCGGTAAATAAACAAAGTAATTTCTCAAATATCAATAAATAAATTTGAACATTTGAACAAGGAAACTAGAAATACACTTTAAAAATGATCTTGTTCCACTTACTATCTCAGAAACTAAGAGTTCCCAAAATATTTACGCAATTACGCTCCAGAAAATTTTACAATATACATAGGTCGAAGTTTAAATAGATAATGACAATCGACTCTTTATTTAATAGTATAAAACAGAGAGAGATGGCGTGGTGGAGACAAGAGTGGAACAAAAAATTACAATTCAATCTGATGGCGATCCAATCGATCATGACAGAGCTTTAGCAGAAGCCATACAAGAAGCAACGGCAATGAACCCTGATATGACTGTGGAAAAAATTGAAATTCAGCAACAATCTGCACAACAGTAATTGCGAAGGTAAGAATAAAGAATAGAAATTTTAAAAATCTGATTATCAGTAAATATAGTAAAAAATATATTAAATTGTACTTACTTCTTTGCAGGCGTAAAATTATTCTATCCCGAGACGTGTGGATATCATTTGGCTTCGCTTTGCTTTGAAAACATTTTGATTAGAGCAAAAAAGCTGCCTGCCTTCATATTAAAGTATTTTATGTTATTTTAAGTGCAAGTGAGTAATGAACTCACACACACAGTTTTTTAGTCACACATTATGATTCACTTTGAAGTTTTAATGTTTATACCATGTAATATTTCTAGTTTTATTTTAGTTAGAATAAGTGTACATATTGGCTTTTGTTGAACCCCAAAAGTGTTGGTATATGAAATCCATGCCTTTTGTTGGATGTCCGTGGCTCCAAAAATTTTCATTATGACATGCATCACGTCGAGTTTTTATTTATTTATTTCATAAATGTTCGAGAGTAACAGGTGCGAGAGTAACAGGTGCTTTAAAATCATAGTCACTGAATCTCGTAAAACAGTTTGTAAAAGTTATGATTGTGACAGGTGTGTTAATGTAAAAGTTTGAAAATATATAATCAGCATGCAGGCTATGAGCTAATTTAACATTCCAAGCTAATATCGTACATATATAATAAATATGTACGGATGTTACACCAAAACTGTAATTTTTTTAAATTAAAACTTAGTTTATTTCCATGACAGTGTAAATAAAAGAACAAAGTTTTGTATTTTATTTGTTGTTCTGGTTGAGCCAGAACTAATGAACTGGTTTACTTCGTCCAAAAAAAATCTCGTTTGCAAAGTTGCAATAATTTAGTCAGTCTGCATAATAATTTGATAGATTTTTATGGCATTTTTTAAACGCTAAATTCGATTTCTATTATAGTACTTTAGTCTTAAGCCCTTTTGTATTACGTCTACATATATATGTAAGTTTATTTAAAGTTAAGTCACTGTTTATTTCATTTACACAAGTTACATGATGATAACTTGTATATTTAACTAAAAATTTGAACAGAAAAAATAGTGGAAAGGTTATTCTTTTTTTAAATATATCATGCAGAGCTATTTAATGGTTGTTTATACTTTGTTTTGAAAATTTTTATTTAATATAATAAATATGTTAAGTTTTTCTTTTATTTATAAAAAATCTTACCCACCACACCATATACCTAAAGTAATCTGGATACGGATAAATCTTGAAAACACCATTCTCTCACTTGGTGATCATTGTTTGTTAGTGTTGGTTATTTTGATTTTGGGTAATTACTGAGGTGAAACCAATAGCATTTTATATTTAAGAAACCATTTTCAAAGATTCAACACATTAATCAAATTCAAAATTTGAAGTGTTGGCTTGTATTATAATGTGTGCACAAAACGAGAAAAACCTGGAACCTGCAGAGAATTATGAATAATTTCATGGAAATTGGTTTGGAAAAACTTAAGTTAAAATTGTATCTGTAAAAAAAGGGACCTATACGATGTTGGCAATTTGAGACATTAACCAAAAAAGAAATAAATCACTTTGTAAAGTAAGTGCCTCCCTTATAACTGATACTTCGATTTTGGTGACTTGTGTAAGGTAAAGCTTAAGTACAGCCGTCCGTTTCACCCTAATTTTATCAAGAATTGCGACTCTGAATACCTTAAATTGTTGTGCCAAGTTAAAATATTAATGATTAACCTAATGAGTTTATTTGGTACGAGCGGAGCGAGTGCTTAAAACGAGTGACTTAAAAAGTTTACCAAACGTGTTGCGTACTATATGTTTCCTTAGAAGCCGTCGGTAATATTTCCAAAAACATTCGATTGATCCTAAACCTGTTAAGATGGTAGCAAAGTGTCGAAAATCCCGAATGTTCTGGTTCAGCTGAGGGGGAGGTGGTTTGTAAGAGCGGACCCGCCAACAGATGAGACGAGACGTACAGAGAAAATTATACATGATCGAGTGACAGAATCTTTAGGTTAGAACCAGCAATTTTTATAGGGATATCCCATATAGGTACTAGAGGCCCTGCCTATGCTAATAATACAGGAACTCGTGAAGCAGCTATGTAACAAAATTTTGAGGTCCGTTCAAAATGCGCATGCGCGAGATTTGAAATTTCGTTTTTAACCAATGGCAGCTCTAATTTGAATTTTTTGACGTTCGACCGATAAGGCCTTGCGGCTTCCAACAGCCAACATGGCCGCTGGCAGATCGTCAGTGTTTGAATGCTCAATTTTTGCGGCTGTATTTTTTCAAAATATGGCGGAATTCCATTAAATTTTCAGGCAAAAAAAGATTTAATGTGTAGAAAGCGTTGTTGACAAAATTAGCGACAAGTGCAGAGTTAATATCGCACTGGAAACATCTAAGTGGAAAAAATGTTCGACAGGCACCTCCTAGAGACAGAACGATCATTCTTTCATCGCAAGTCTAGTAATTACAGAAAGTTTCAACTCCCAAATATGTAATTATGAAAAGTACCAATGAACAATTTCGTTAAAAACTGGGAGTACTAGAAAATGTAACCAAGAAAATTAAAAAGTAGTATAAAACAAGTCAATAAACAATTAGTCCTAAATGTAACAGATTTAACATTAAAAGTGTCGTTTATTGTATCAAAATTTAAAAAACATTTAGCTAGCAAAAATTGCATGGCGGCTACCGCAAAAAAATCCCCGTTAATAATATTAAACAGCAATTGTAAAATGCTCAAAATACATGTAGAAATTGCATCGTGTCTACCGGGCTTTAAATACTAGTATAAATTCACAGAATAATTTAGCAATATTTTATTGCAATCTGGATTCAAATGTAGATAACTAAAAATTACTTTTCCAGAAATGCTCGGAATTTTTTAAAAGTGTAGGCTGACATGAAAAATTCTAAAAGGAAGATGTCCTATTAAGAATTTTTTTTTCTACTCCCGTCTGTAAAATACCTAATTACCCACCGATCTAGCATCCGGGAAGCGTCACTTTACCACGTCAGTTTCCTTTCCAACGAATCCGAGCCACTTCGGACATTACCGGGATTTTACCGCACGGATTTGGGAGCAATCGGATGTTTTCGGAGATATTTCCCACGCTTTGAATTTTGACGTTTGTCAATTCTGATCGTCATGTCAGTGAATGTATTCGTGTTGTTTTACGAAAATATACCCAAAAACTAACGGTCGTAGAAAAAATATAGTATGCAACAAGTTCGGTAAACTTTTTAACTCATTCGTTTATTAAACACTCGCTCCGCTCGCACTGTGGGCCCCATGCATAAACTAGGTTACAATAAATCATTATTAAAAATGCAAAATTTGTCAATGTTGTTAAATTAAGAACGTACTGAAACATGTAAAAACAGTATTGCTTTGTAAAAATACTTTACCAAGAATTTTTTATAAATTCACAATATCAGATGTTTAAAAGAAAATCTATTTTTATTGCAATCGCTTCGATAAAATAACGAAGTTTTCGAACTTTTTAAACGGCTTAGTAGGCCTTGAAAACAAATGCCGCTTTAAGTATTTGACAACTGGTGTCAGCCCTGTTAATTAGTTTAGACCTGTACATGCAATGTAGAATGTTTGTGTTTTTTCTGCGATTTGACAAGAAGTGACGAGGTAAGTACCATTAATATTTAATTTTTCAAACTCTATAGAGTAAAAAAATATGAAGGCCAACGAGTGCATACACAAGAACAGTGGATATCGATTATTCAAGATATCTGTAACAAAATAAATACAAGATGGAGGAAGTGCGGCAAAATATCTGATCGATTTTTACTAAAGTATGATGAGTGGTTGCAGAATGGCTCTATTTGTTTTGCTAGGGCCCAAACAGAAGATTTCTTTGAAGAAAAAGTACAAAAAACCCTGGGTCGCCCACTTAGCCTTTTAACCAAGTTCTTCATAGATAAAAGAAAAAAAAAGTTGAGCACTTACTAAAGTCAATACGGAAGAATTACATTTGCTACTCAAATTGCTTTAAGAAATGATGGGAAAAAAGATGCAGCTAATCTAGTCGAAGAAATCAGTACCGCAGCTCCTGGCAGAGCAACCGTTATAAAACATTGCTGTGAAAAGGATGACGCCCGAAACCCAAGACAGTATTCTAAAGACGAAGCATTAGCCATATTTTTAGATTGCAGACTAACCAAGCAAAGCTATATAAACCTACGAAAAAGTGCGATTGAAGCAGGTCATGAACTCCTTCATGTCATGAATATCCTTCTTATAAACAGATTCAGAGAGCAAAACTGAAATGCTATCCTCTATATCCCGGTGAAATTATTTTTATCAACGAAACTAGAGTTGAAATTATCGACCTTCAAGTATTGCTGGATTATACCGCCAAACATCTAGTAAATGTACAGGAACCTGTACTTCAACAGCACGCATCACTAAGTATGAATGTGATGGAAGCTCTGGGCACAGTAGATATAAGCAGAAGTTTAAAGGCGAAGAAGTTAATGACGAATATTTATTTATATATTCTCTAGTGCCAATCAAACTTAATCCAATAAAGGACAAAAATATTCTTCTATGGCAAAACGATCACCCACCAAACTTTGCCGGCTTATAAAATTCTTATTTTCTAAAGAAACTACCGAAATGGTAAGCGACGAGACTAAACAAATACAGTCGCAAATAAATTAATTAAAACAGACAGCTATTGTTTTAGAAAATAATGTTCAAATAAATATTCATCATGAGCTTCACTTAACAATGGTAGATGGAAAAGTGTGTAATATTCTAACCGATACAAAATTATCACAAACCTGTTATATCTGTGGCGCAACTCCAAAAAATATGAATGTAAAGCCCAACAATACACAAAATAAATATAAAAATTATGAGTTTGACTTGTCTACGTTACATGCGCGAATAAGATGCTTTGACTGTTTACTTCACATAGGTTACAAGTTAAATCACAAAAAATGGCAGCTCAGAAGTAAAAAACAACAAGAGGAAGTTAAAATTAGGAAACAAGAGATTCACAAAAGATTTAGAAATGAAATGGCTTTAGACGTAGACAAGCCAAAACCTGGATTCGGGGTCAGTAATGACGGAAATACCGTCAGAGCCTTTTTTAATTTTCCAGAAAAATTTCAGATATAACAGGAGTCAATCGAACATTAATCGAACAATTTGGTGTGATATGGGACACAGTTTGCTCGGGGTATGATATAGGTCTTGTAAAATTTGAAGAGTACTGTAATAAAACTGCAGACCTGTATTTAAGTATAAGTATAGTATGCAACACGTTCAGTAAACTTTTTAACTCACTCGTTAACCGCACTTGTTGTATAATATACTAATTTCCAGATGCACACTCAATACTGGTTTTGTAGACAAGATTATGGTTTATGCCACAAGTACGACTTACCTTTAATTATAATAGCATTGTATATAGTGTTTTATTAACTCGTTTTGGTTAGTATAAATAAATACATGAATTATTTAATAAGGCCTTTATTGAAAAGAATAAAATATATTGTTGCTTATAAATACAATAAGAAGTTACATAAAAATATAGCATGATAATATTTATTTTTTATTTTTCAAGGAACTTTTATATTACTTGATTTGAGAGGATCCACCACCTTTAAAAATTGCAAAAAAAATGTAAATTCAAAACAAAATTTAAATCAGAAACACTTGTTGACAATATGTTACCATGCCTTAAGTTCTTTTTAAAAACTGATGACCGCTGGTTATTCTGTGGCGCAGTCGTGCGATTTTGAAAAAGTGATAATTAGAAGAAAGTTTCAACTCACGTTAACGTGAAGTTCATCAAAGAAGAATCAACACCCCAGAAGAAAAAAAAAAGAGCCAGAGAGTCCAGAAGCCGTGAAGAAAAGTTGTAAAGAAAAAAAGAGAAGAAATTCATCGCAAAGATCAGGAGGCAGGTGCGGATTGGAAGCACTTGGTGAAACCTCTGGTACCAAAGAAGCTAAATAACTTTCGAAGAAAGAAGAAACTGAGACCCCAACAACTACGACAAACGGCGCAAGCAGATACGGATTAGGAGCACTTGGTGGAACCCCTGGTATTAACAACGCTAACCAACGTCTAGTTGGGGTCAACTCAATGAATCAACAATTGTTACTGTAAGTAC